TTATAATAATTATAATTATCCAGTTTTAGTCCAACGTCTTTAATGCATTGTAATTAATTCAATAAATTTTTGCATTCGTCGAATGCGAAAGTTTGTTTTTTCGCATTTGCCAATTGCGAGAAACATTTTTCTTTCTTCCTCCGAAAACCTAGCCATAGTTTTGCCTACACCACCACCTTGGGAGCATATTTTGGTCATTTTTCGTCCGAAATTGGTTTTCAAGGATATTTACTTGGCTTCGGAGTCAGAAGAGTGCTGATGCAGAAGCCCAAAAACTTGAGCTGTAGCATGTTCCTGGTAAAGGTGCAAGCATAATTTTCTGTTCTTAGTAACAACTGTTGCTCTCACGGGAGTTCTTGTAGTTACCATCGATTCTGTGTTTTCAACTTTATGATTACTTCTTCTTGATCAACAATATTTTAGTAGTAGTTGTATATGTATGAAGATCCCCTTCCTTCATGGCTGTCTTTTCTCCGAAAATGGGGGTGATTGTGTCAGCAATGCTCTAGTAGTTGTTGTATATGTCTTTTGTCAGAATCAACCTTGAAGGCTCATGTGTCACGATTTAGAGATGAGGTGGAAAATTTGGGTGATTGTAACCTAATGTAAGTTCTAAAGACTTGTAGTATAGAACGGTTTGAGGATTTGTTACTTAACCAGTGAATGCCTCCAAATGCCACCTAATTATTATGTTACACCAGACTAAAAGGAAAGCATAAAAATAGACCAAAAAATGTATTTCATATCTAGGACAAACGGAACCAGACACCAGGTTTGGTGTATGAAACTATGCATCTCAAAGGAGCCTTAATTTAGCTTTCAAAGATTTCAGGTAGGATTTCTCAGATTGAAACTGCTCTTTTTTTTCTTTTTGTTTTTTTTCCCCCGAAAACACACATCATATTGTTATAGCAGAAAAGAGATCGATTACAATGCTGTGGCCAAGGTTAGGTTGTTTTTACCATCTTAGGTATATTTTTTACTTTTCCATCTGCCCCGAAATTATTGTCCAAATTGAATTTTTATCTTTAATACAATTTAAACTAAAAATAAAAATTCAAACTGGACAATATTTTCGGTACGTAGAGAGTATATCTCTATGAACTTCTAAAATATTTGTACCTGATATTAAAGACAACAACAAAATTATATCCTATTTTATATTGTCTAATTTCATAGAAAAAATCACGCGATGATTGACAGCATCTGTTGCAACAACATTATTATCTGTTGAGAAACTGAAAGGGTAAGCCACTCCGAAACCCGGTTGACTCAAAAGCTTGATTTACATGAACTCGCTCGACGGCCCGCATATTTTGTCATAAATATGCAAAATATTTTCTCTGTCTAACAAAAATAGTTTATTTAATGTTGGAAATTAATGACGGGCTAGTTTATGGCATCTGTGAACTCTTGCAGTGAGATTGGACCGTGGAGCTTAACTCTATTTATCGAGAAGTCAATTTTACTGTAGATTGTTTAGCATCATTAGCCGTTCAAGAACCTGGAGTTTGCAACGATTTGTTAATCCACCATGAAAAGTTATTCCGTGATTGGAACATGATGTAATAGGGATAGCATACCTTAGAACTATTTGAACATAGGCTTTTGCCTCCATCTTTTGTAAAAAAAAAAAAAAATAAAAAAAAATAAAAATAGTCTATTTAATTTGTAAGTTACGTGTCCAGTTTTTAAAACGGAGTGATTAAAACATTCGGTTTACCTAATATTAACATTTTTTTTTCGGTCTGAAGTAACGGATATATTAGGTAAATTCCATCCAACAGCAAAACTTCTTGATGCTTGAAACCACTGTCATGATTAATAAAATTTGTGCAAGTAAAGTCATTTGGGAGGGATAAAAGTCTCCTAAAGTACGTAGGTATGAATTAAGCATGCATGAAAGATTTAGGTAACAGTAAACGTAAAAGAAGATTAAAATAAAAAAGGGATAGAACTTTCATTTATTGAATATAATTGATACGGAACTGGTTCACAAGGAGAGATATGATGGGACATACAATTGCAATTGCAACATAACATACAATTGAAAAAAGGAAGTTCAAACGACATAATATATCATTTTGGAACAGAGGAAGTAGACTAAAATGCAGAAGAAATGTTAGATTCCAAGCTCCATGGTGACGAGCTTGATCCTTCTCCGCACACTAACAATCTATCTCCCTCAAACACACAGTAAACAAAAAAGAGGGGAAAAAAAAAAAACAAATTGAGGACGTTTTAGAAAGAAAAAAAACAACAGAACATTTTGATGGACTAATTAAACATCAGGAGGACAATTAAGTTGATGGGTTGGAGCGGTGATGTTACACGCTTTAAGGAAGGAACTCATGTCAAGAGTATGTGATGTGTCAACGCCGTTGGCCTTGTTGGCTTTGCAAACGCAAAGTGCCAGATCATAGTTCTGAAGTCCGTCAAAAAGACGGCAGCATTCTTCATCTGAAGAAGAAGAAGTTGTGTTGCTCGTCTGAGTTGGATTAAGCAAATTTGCACATTTTTTAAATTCTGTGACATTCGTTGGACAAGATGGCACGAAAATTGACAAAAATGTGCCTCAAAAAAGTTGAAGTGGGCAAAACTATGCCTTAGTTTTTGGAGGAAGAAGGAAATGTGTTTTACGCATTTAGGATATGCGAAAAAAATGACTTTCGCGTTTTCCATATGCGAGGGATTAAAGAATTAATTATATTGCATTAAAGAAGAAGGTTTAAAACAAGATAACCATGATTATTAAACGTGTTCGCATTTGTGATATGCGAAAGTTTACTTTTCACACATGGCATATGCGAATGATCTCAATTTTTATTTAAAAATATTTCCTAACTTTAAATTGGCATAAAATAAAATGTTGTAACAAATTTTGAATAATAAGTAAATTAAAAATTTTGGATGATAAAATGTTGTAATATTACAATTAAAAAAATGACATTTCAAATTGAAATGTCATTTTTTTAAATTTAAAAATATCATTGGATTCAAGTCAATTTATGTTATTTTTAAATATAATTACAATGTGATGAATTATATTTGGTGAACGCAAATTTTTTAATAATAATTAAATTAAAATTTCAGGGAAAAATTAGAATATAATCTTGCCTTTCGTAACAAAGTTTCTTTTAAAAAAATTGACTTTTATTTTGGTTTCAACTTAAAACATTACCATCATTCAAAATCTAATCTCAAAAAATCAAGTTTACTAAATTTTGGATAAAAGATTAAAATTAAATTTCGATCAAAAATTAGTATTATATAAAAATAAGAGTTAAGAAAACCGCATATAATATTGTCTTTGTGATAAATTTTCTTTTTTTTCTTTTAATGTTTGGCTTTTATTTTTGTTAAACTCGAAACTATTATATCATTTTAAAAATTGAAAAGATCGAGTTTACTAATGTTTAAGGAATAAAAATCGAAATAAATTGTTAAGAAAAAATGCAAAACATTTTTAAAACTAATAACAAAAGTCATAATATAGCATAAAATAAAAGTACAATTCAATTTAATTTTTCTACATGTGCTTTTTCTCACAAGAATCTATCATACAACACTTTTTCGTCTTCTTTTTTTTGTTCGCTCTCCCTTACGCCAAGCTGGAGATGTAAAAAGCATGGTACCATGAATGGGGCCCTATCCCGGGCACCGGCTCGAGCCCTCACCCTGATCATCAGCCTCATCATCATCCTGAGCAGTGCTCTAATCATCATCAAAATCATTGGTGCCCTCTTGAAATCCATCCGACACAACAATGTACCCGCTGAAGGTGCATGTCCTCTGTAGCATCCTTGGGTAGCGGATTGGTCATAATGTGAGTCGTTATATCTGTGATGTTTACTACATTTTTCATTGTGGACTCATCACGCTGTCGAAAACTAAACAGACTCTCAAGATAATTGCCCCACCCACCCTGAGGCTGTGCTGCCCCGCAACCACTGCCCGTCCATCCATCCGAAGACCCAGAAGGACCTCAACATCCTGTAGAGTAATCATCGCCTCTCTAATAGGCAAGTGAAAGGAATGGGTCTCAGGCCGCCATCGCTCAACTAAGGCTATAATCAGGGCCCAATCTAACTTAATAGAACCAATATGAAAAAGCGCCCCCAGACCAAACTTCTCTATTTGGTCAAGTGTCTGTGGGGTAGCCTTTTTCACTTCGGGCCACAGATAACTATCCACACGCCTAGCGGAAAATTCTTTCCAATAAGTCTTATTACCCCTAAAAGTATGAAATGACCTATGATCATCATGAAGAACCAATAAACTCGTGTTTATAGGACCCTGTTGGAGAACAGTGCGTTTAGACTGCGAAGATGATGATAATCCCGTCTCCATACCCCTAATTAAAAAATATTCTGGGTTTATTATTTAAATTAACTCTACAATATTATTTTTTTAAAATCTGTGTTTAAAAAAATTACGTACGAAAAATCAAACAAAGGCAAACAAATATCATAATATTTTGTAAGTAGATACAATTAATCTAAATAGAAAAACAGAACAATAGCCGGCAAAATAGGAAATCAAAACATAAAAAAAAACCAGCAAATCCAAAAATCTAACCATCCCAAAAAAATAAAATACACAAAAAATACAAAAACTAAAAAAAGGCCCATCTTTTCAAAAAAAAAGGCCGATTTTTTTTACAAATAAAATTAGAACGGCGGAATTAAAAAAAAAAGAAAAGGAAAAAGCTGAGTGCGAATTGTTTAAATGGTCAACTACACGCGTGTGGCTTGCAGAAATATTTAAATATGTATGTTTCGCATTTTTGTTATGCGAAAGTTCATAAATATTTATTTTTTATTTCTTTCGTTAATATTAGTTTACTTTAGTTAATTAAAAACTGAATTGAAATCGTTCGCATTTGGGAGATGCGAATGTCCTTTTTTCGCATACGGGAAATGCGAGAAACACATAAAATTCCACGTTTTGAACCCTAGGCACTATTTTTGCTACACATTTAGGTTTGAGGTACCTAAATCTCACGGACCCCAAGATGGCATAGAGCTAGGAGGCGGCGGAGGAGTTGGAGACGGTGATGGGGGAGTTTGAGGTGGAGGCGGCGTGGAAGTTTCAGGTTGTGGAGGTGGCGACGGGATACTTTCAGGGGTTGGAGGTGAGGGAGTTTCCGGCTGTGGTGGCGGTGCTGGTGGGAGACTTTCAGGGGTAGGTGGCGGCGGAGGAATTTCGGGCGGTGGAGGTGGTGGTGGGAGACTTACAGGAGTCGGTGGAGGCGGAGGAATTTCGAGCTGTGGAGGTGGTGGTGGGAGAATTTCAAGGCTTGATGGTGGCGGCGGGGGAGTTTCCGGTTGTGGAGGTGGCGGTGAGAGACTTTCAGGGGTAGGACGTGGCGGAGTTTGGGCCTTTGGAGGTGGCGGGGGGAAGCTTTCAGGGGTTGGTAGTGGCGGAGGAGTTTCAGGTTGTGGAGATGGTGGTGGGGGAGTTTCAGGGCTTGGCGGGGGAGTTTTTGGTTGAGGAGGTGGCGGCGGGGAAGTTTTCGGTTGTGGAGGTGGTGGTGGAGAACTTCCAGGGGTAGTAGGAGGCGGCGGGGGAGTTTTGGGTTGTGTAGGTGGCGGATTCAGGCCACTCATTTATGATCTTAATTAACAAAGAAGTAGAAACTTGCGTGCCAAGACCAGCACCGAGTTCAACATTGTTGGCCTGGTCGTTCCCCTCAATTCGGTCAGCAACAACGAGGAAAAATAAAATCAAGCCTAACTAGGCTTTGGTTTTGGGGTGTTTGACCGAGAAAAGAAAACCCAATTCTATTGGATTTTGGGCTTTATTTTTATGCCTATAAAAGCAAGACTTTGTGCATAATTTGTGCATATTTTTCAGCCAAGAGAGAAGGAAAATTAGGGCAGCCGCGCAAGGGTTTTGTGCGAGAGAAAAAGAAAGAAAGTTAGGGTTTAGTTTTCCGTTTAACTCTCTTTTAGTTAGATCCTTCCGGTCCTACTTTGTGATAGGTGTGTGTGTGGAAGAGTATTGTTGTAATCCACCTTTGGATGAAGTCCTGTGTATCCACCGGTTGGTGAAGATTGTTTCCCATTAATATGATAGTGGAGATTTGACTATTGTTACAGTCCCGTGATTTTTTTCAATTTGGATTTTCCACGTAAATTCGTGTGCCTCTTTTATTTTATCAGTTTGAATTATTTTTCTTATTTGGTTGTCCTATTTTACTCGTAGTAGGAAATGAGATTTTCTTGGGGTTCGCTTCCGTAGTGTATTGTGTTTATATCCTTTCTACCACAACAGTGGTATCAGAGCTATGGTTCGGTAGTTAAGGTGTTACACTAATAAAATGGAAGAGTTATCGGGTAACTGTACGATGATTAAATTGACTTCATCCAATTATCATATGTGAAAGCCTAGAATGAAAGATTTGTTGTATTGCAAAGATTTGTTTGATCCTGTTCTTGGGGATGAAGGTAGGCCAAGTGATATGATTGATAAAAAGTCAGCTGATATGCACAGGAAAACCGTTGGTAATATTCGACAGTGGATTGATCAAAGTGTGTTTCATCACTTTTCGGGAGAAACAAAAGCTGATGAACTTTGGAAGAAAATCCAGAATATGTACTGGAAGAAGTCCGGCATCAATAAGTCATCTGCGCTTAAACAGATTACCAGGTTGAGGTGTAAAGATGGTGCTAGCATGAATGAGCACTTGAGTTTGTTTCAGGGTTTGTTGCACCATGCAGTGAATATAGGTTTAAAGTTGGATGATGAGGTGCAGGCTTTGCTATTGTTTAGTTCTCTTCCAGACAGTTGGGACACTTTGGTAGTGTCAATCAGTAATTCAACCCAGGATGGTGTCTTGACCTTGGATCAGGTCAAAGAGGCTTTGATGAATGAAGAAGTCAGAAGAAAAGAGCAGAGTATTGAGTCTGAGTCGCAGGCTTTGGTGACAGAAAAGTCAGATGGAAGAGGGAGAAGTAAAAGCAGAGGGCCACGTGATCGGAATGACAAGTCCAGAGGACGGTCTAAATCCAAGAAAGATGTCGTGTGACCATTGTCAAGGGAATGGACACTTTAAGAGGGAGTGCATGGTTCTCAAGAGAGAATTAGCAGCGAGAAATGGTAAAGGCAAGAAGGATGAATCAAGTGATGATGACACTATTGCAGTAGTAACTACCAATGATGTATTTGTGTACTGTGATGATGATACAATTAATGTTTCAAGTCACGACAGTGATTGGCTCGGTGATTCAAGTGTGTCTTATCATGTGACGCCTCACAGACACTTCTTTACCTCTTACACACCTGGAGATTTTGGTCTTGTAAGAATGGGCAATCAAGCCTCATTCGATGTTGTCGACATGGGAGAGGTATCATTGGTAACGAATACAGGTTGTACTCTTGTCTTGAAGAAAGTCAGACATGTTCCGGATATGCGTCTGAACCTTATTTCCGTTGGAAAACTTGATGATCAGAGTTATCATTGCACTGAAGGTGGTGGCCGTTGGACAATTACCAGAGGGAATCTTGTTATTGCTAGAGGAAAGAAGTTGAACTCTTTGTATGTGTTGAATGCAAAGTTCAAGAATGGAGAGGTGAATAGCTCACAATGCCTCCATTGATCTCTGGCACAGAAGGCTTGGACACATTAGTATCAAGGGGCTCCAAATTGTTCGTAAGAAGTAATTTCTCCCTGAGGTGAAAGGTACTGCTGTAGAACCTTGTGTTGACTGTATCTATGGTAAACAACATAGGGTTTCCTTTCAAAATTCTTCCCCCATCTAGAAAATCCGGTCCTTTAGAGTTAGTTCATACAGATGTATGTTACATGAAAGATGGGTCGCTGGGTGGTGCATTGTACTTTGTTACTTTCATTGATGACTATGCTCGAAAGGTTTGGTGTTTTTCCTTGAAATCTAAAGATCAGGTATTAGATGTGTTCAAAGACTTTCACCTTAGAGTTGAACGAGAGACTGGCAAGAAGTTGAAGTATGTTCGAGCAGATAATGCTGGTGAGTACAGGGGTCCATTTGAGAAGTATTGTCGAGACTATGGCATTAAACTTCAGAAGAGTGTTCCGAAAACTCCGCAACATAATGGTGTGGCAGAAAGAATGAACAGAACTATTACCGAAAAGGTTAGGTGTATGTTCTCGAATACAAAGCTGCCAAATCATTTTGGGGTCAAACCATGCAGACAACAGTTGATTTGAGCATCCTATCTCCCTCAGTTTCATTGGATGGTGATCTACCAGAGCGAGTTTGGACAGGAAAAGATGTCTCATTTCGACATTTGCAAGTTTTTGGTTGTCGTGCCTTTGTTTATATTCCCAAAGATGAAAGGTCAAAGCTTGATGGCAAATCCAAGCAGTGTGTATTCTTGGTGTATGGAAATGATGATTTTGGATACAGACTTTGGGATCTTGTAGAGAAGAAAGTTTTCAGAAGCAGAGATGTGATCTTCTTTGAAGACCAGACCATTGATGATATGGGAAAGGGCGAGATGCCAGAATCTTCACCTAAGATTCCTGTTGATCTAGATCTAGTTCCTCCACAATCAGATGATTCTCCTAAGGGAGAGCTGAGACAGAGCAGAATGGCGAGTTTGATGATGATCCTACTTCTGAAACAGAGACACCACCGGTTTCATAACCTCCTGTCCAGCCAAGGAGGTCCACCAGAGACAAGAAACCTTCCACCAGGTACAGTGCTCATGAGTATTTGTTGCTTACTGATGAGGGAGAACAAGAGTCGTGAAGAGGTTCTTAGTCATGAGCAGAAAGATCGGTAGTTAGCCGCCATGGAAGATGAGATCAAATCCTTGCATGAGAATAACACATATAACCTAGTGAAGCTGCCTAAGGGCAAGAGAGCACTCAAGAATAAATGGGTGTTCAGACTGAAGACAAGTGAGAACAGCTCACAATCGAGGTACAAAGCTAGATTAGTTGTGAGGGGATTCAATCAGAGAAAGGGCGTAGACTTTGATGAGATATTCTCTCCTGTTGTAAAGATGTCTTCGATCCGAGTTGTGCTTGGGATAGCGGCCAGTTTGAATCTTGAGATTGAACAGCTTGATGTGAAGACAGCCTTCTTGCATGGTGATTTGGAAGAAGAGATTTACATGGAGCAACCAGATGGGTTTCAAGAGAAGGGGAAAGAAAAGCTTGTATGTCGTCTCAATAAAAGCTTGTATGGGTTGAAGCAAGCTCCGAGGCAGTGGTACAAGAAGTTTGATGCTTTCATGATAGGGAAGGGATACTAAAGGACTACAGCCGATCACTGTGTGCTTGTGAAGAAATTCTCTGATGGTGATTTTATAATTCTTTTGCTTTATGTCGATGACATGTTGATTGTTGGTCATGATACTGCAAAGATTGCCAGGTTGAAAAAGGAGTTGAATAAGTCCTTTGCAATAAAAGATTTGGGTCCGGGAAGACGGATCTTTAGGATGAAGTTTTCGCGTGATAGACAGAATGGGAAGCTTTGGGTATCTCAAGAGAAGTATATCGAGAAGGTTCTTAATAGGTTTAACATGAGCGATGCTAAGGAAGCCTCGACTCCACTTGCGGGGCATTTTAAGCTAAGTAAAACGCAGTGTCCTAAAAGTGAGAAAGATAAGGAAGAGATGAAAAAAAGGTTCCTTATGCTTCGGCAGTTGGCAACCTGATGTATGCGATGGTTTGCACAAGGCCAGACATAGCTCATATAGTTGGTGTTGTTAGTCGGTTTCTCTCCAATCCTAGTAAGGAGCATTGGAATACTGTGAAATGGATTCTCAAGTATCTTAGGAGTACTTCCAGATGGAGTCTTTGCTTTGGCAATGGGAAGACCATGTTGGATGGATATACAGATGCTGACATGGCGGGTGACCTTGATGGTCGAAAGTCTACTTCTGGATACTTGATGACTTATGGAGGGGGAGCAGTTTCGTGGCAGAGCCGGTTGCAGAAATGTGTTGCTTTGTCTACTACAGGAGCAGAGTTTATCGCAGCTACTGAATCTTGTAAGGAAGCACTTTGGTTGCAGAAGTTTCTACAAGAGCTTGGCATGAATCAAGAGAGGTATGTGGTGTATTGTGATAGCCAGAGCGCTATTCACTTGGTGAAAAATTACACATTCCATTCGTGGTCTAAACATATTGATGTGAGATATCATTGGAATAGGGATGTGTTGGAGTCCAAGGCGTTGTTTCGATCATGATACGCAGGTCGAATTGAGATTTTTTTTCAAATAAAATCTACATTTATCTTTTAAAACTCGTTTGACTATAAATTTTAACGTTTTGCCCGAAGTTTAACTGGGTCGACCCGTGGATCAAACTGGGTCGACCCAGTAATCGGATCACGATACGCAGGTTGAATTGGGATTTTTTTTCAAATAAAATCAACATTTATCTTTTAAAACTCCTTTGACTATAAATTTTGACGTTTCGAGCCCAGTTTAACTAGGTCAACTCGTGGATTGAACTGGGTCGACCCATTAACCGGATCACGATACGCTGGTCGAATTGGGATTTTTTTTTTTCAAATAAAATTTACATTTATCTTTTAAAACTATATTGACTATAAATTTTGACGTTTCGAGCCAAGTTTAACTGGGTCGACCCGTGAGTTGAACTAGGTCGACCC